GGAAATTTCGCAGCTCTGCAAACTATTAATTTCGAAATTACACAGCATCGATTTTATTTTATTTGTCAGTGATTTGAGATAATTGTGTGAAAAGCCTAAGTAATTTCGAGTATGAAATTTCACGACTATGCGAATTGTTAATTTCAAAATTGGACATTCTACTTTTCAGTAAGAAACGTTCACTTGAATAAAAGTACACTTAGTAGTTTCAAGTAAAATTGTTTTATTTGAAAATTTTATAATTGTACAAATTATTAGTTTCAAGATTGGACAGGCTTTGTAATCTTATGCTTCTGATAGTGACTCGAGATGATTATGTAAAAAGGAGTAAGTATCAAAACGTTAGCCATTTCGTACATGAACCATCCAAATGTTAAACGTTGCTTTCTAAAAATATCATAGTTATACAAATTAATAATTGCAAAGACAAACTTGAATAATCACTAGAAAATAAGTAAACGTTTGAAGAATTATCGTATCGTTTGAAATTTTCGTTTATGAAATTTGTATTCAATATCATAATAACAGCTCTGTTAATTATTGTTGTTAATTTTAAAATTAGACTTGATAATGATTTGAATAATCGTTTCATGTTTTCATAAATATCACTTAAAAATAGAACTCATTAAATTTTTGTTATTTATCGAAATTAGGATATTTATTTATTAGAATATTTAATGGGTCTACATAGATACATATATATTTTTGTGTATTATAGGCATGCATTTTGTAGATTTTTGTTAAACGTTAAATTTCACAAAAATGTATAAACGCCCACAATTTAAATATTGTAAAGTTAATCCTTTATAACTTTGAAGTCATTTACTGATACATCAGTATTCTTTTAATCTTCCATTCTATCGCTATTTTTCAAATCTAATCAAGTTCTGTTGCCTCTCCTTCGTAACGAAGAAAATTTATTTCGATTGTCAACTATTATCATACATCAGAGTCTATGAGTAAATGTTTTTAGAATGGAGTTTTTGGAAATTATAGATTCATTGATACTTTATATCTGAGGTTTTTGCTGCTACTTTTTTTGCAAAAAAAATTCTAGTACAGAGAGCTAATAAAGCTTCCAAGAATTACTATTTGAAATTTTTGTCTACGAAATTTCTATTCAACAACGATTTAATTATTATTAATTAAATTTCCCAATTATCTGATCCAGATCAATTTTCGCGTTTCACGCAAAAATCAGCAGGTATTCAAATTGCTTGCAAACGAGCGTGTAGAGTACCTGAACGAATGAATTTTTAGAACGAAATTTTTGAAAATTATAGATTCATTGTTAATTATATCTGAAGTTTTTGCTGGTTTTACGTTACATAAAATTTTTTTGCAAAAAAATTCTAGTACAAAGAGCTAATAAACCTTCCAAGAATTACTATTTGAAATTTTTGTCTACGAAATTTCTATTCAACGGCCCTGTTAATTATTAATTAATATTTCCCAAGTATCTAACCCGGGTCAATTTTCGCGAAAGTGAATCAGTAAGTGTTGCAAATCGGTCGCGTTGAGTTTTATCCGAGAAGGAAACTAGATCGTGGCCGAGCCTGTTGCGGCGTGGCCTCCGGTCGAATCGTAAAGCAGGAAATTTATCATCGTGATAAAAGTCGAGAATTTATCATCGTCTCGGTGTTTAAATTTTTTATTGCGATCTTAGTTGCCGTTAAGAGCCGTAAAGCTGTTTTATACCACGGCCTTTTATCCCGCGTTTCACCAAGTGGTGGACTTCGCGGTCCCCGGTCACGCGGAGGTAGCCTTTCACGCCGCGTGGGAGGGGGTTGCGTCCTCTGAAATGCGGTTTCAACCCCCTCGCGCGGCCAATTTCTTAAAATTCCTTAATTGCCGCGCCCGAGAACTCGTAAACTTGTACTACACCATGGGGAAACCTCCCCTTCGCGAAACCTTTGCTCCGTGCATCGCGCTTTCTTTCTTTCTTTCTTCCTTGCTTTCCGGTTGAAAGCGTCTTTCACGTTGTTTATCGTTGTTACCGGAGGCATTCGGTAACACACTTTTTCGAGTGTTTATTGTGTAGTGTGCGTAGCTTCTCGAATGGCCTTTGGATCGCGTTATGGTCGGGCTAGTTTACTACCTACCAGTCACGTTTGACGAATCTTTTGCCCCGTGACAATGTCGCGGGGACGTGTTTCACTTAATGATTAGTTTTTATGGATAAATGGCGGCTATATATTCCCGAACAGTTTATGCGCGGCCACGTTTCCAGAAATCGTTCCCTTCGCATGTGAGAAAGTGTTAAAAAGCCAATTATTCGTTATCGTGTCATTGCTGCAATGTACGTCGTCGTTCATTTGTAAAATGGATAAAATGAAAGATTCGTTAGTTTAAAATATACAATATACAAATATTACTGAAACTGATCATTTACCTAGTCATCATGAGTCATCGAATCATTTGCAATTTCAATTTAAATATTTATTATTTATTATATTTATTATTTTATAATTTATTATTTTATATATTTATTATAATGAAATATCAGACTACGAAGGATAATATACTTAATTGCTAATAGTCAGTCATGAAACACATCTGATTTTAGATATTCGAGAGAATAGAAGCACCTAATTCAAACATCTTGCCGGCATTAATCAATTTATTGATTGAAACCGTGCGTATTAACGATCTGAACGATGATGTTTCGTACATTTGTTTATTACAAAACATAAATAAATCGGAGCAAAGAATGACGACATATGTTAATTATACAATGGATACATTGAAGTGTGTGAAATTCTTTTATTAATAAATTTTATTTTCATTGTAATCAGAATTAATACGATTTATTAGTATCTTACACATAGTAATTGCATACAGATTTTCAATTTATTTACACGTACTTTTAAACAAATGTAAGAAACATCACGTCAGCAGTTTGGAAATGTTTCCAACGTTAATTAAAAAATTAATTAGGATCCACAAAATGTTCAAAATCGTTCTTTTTTCAGTTTTGACTATTTGAAATTCCTCAGATCTACACCTACGTAGATTTTCACGACTGATGATTATTAATAACTATAGATATAAGATTCTTAATCAAATTATGTCTATATTCGATGAGAAAAAAAAAATGCGTGACGCAAATATGTTGAAAATAAATCGATCAGCAATGCGATCATCAATTCTTGTCCAAACTAAATTCTCTCACGATTCTCTCGAAAGATTCGACTGATCTTGATTCGTCCTCGTAACAGGGGCGTCATGTCCGAGCCATCTATCCGGATTTATCCACTGCGAGAAGCATTCGCTGTTGGCGAAGCGAGAAAAAGAGAGAGCGAGGAACCAGTTCGTCAAATTTTCGGACCGATCGAGTGCACAACAATAAAACGTTAAAGACGACGCATGGGACCACCATTCTGCTCTCTCTATCTCTCTCTATCTCTTTCTCTCTCATCCTTACGATCGTATTCTCTTTTGGGACTCTCCACGCGTAGTTTCTTTTTGTGAAACAGAGACGCACGAAATGTATACGTAAAGATTTCGCGATCTCGAAATGACATTTTGTTCCAATTAATTAAAGTTGATAAGTGACATTTTTCTTATATTGAACCATTATTATATTATAACCTTATAGGTCGTGGATTTGTAGGAAATTACTTATTAGACATTCACAGATGAAAAATTGCAGAGGATATACAAAAATATATAAAATATATTTTAATTGATATATTTTATATAATAATATTAATTAAAGTTGCCAAGTGACACGTTTCTCTTATATCGAGCCATTATTATATTATAATCTTACATCGTATAATCATAATCGTAGATCGTAAATTTATTTATAGAAAATTATTTACAAGAAATTTACGAATGAAAAATTGCAGAGAATGTACAGAGCATACAAAAATATATAAAGTATTAATATATACATTTAACAACGGTAACAAATTTCTGTTTAGATTTTACTTCTCTAAAATAGTCTGTAAAAGTGTCTGTAAAAATATGAAATTGTTGGTACGAAGACTTACAATTTCGCATAAATGTATGTGATGGACAAAAAGAGTACGAGTCAATTTTTTGGTCAAAGTAATATGAGCCACTGTTTAAAAAAAAATTCTATAAATACAACTGGACTGTATGTTATTAACGTTCGTGTCCAAAATTTAATATCTCACATTGCAGTTTCAATTTAAATACAATTTAATTACAAGTACTCTCCTGTAAAACTAACGATTAAGTTGTAGATAATACAACACAACTTTGCTTGTTCTTTTCATCCTCTCTTAATCTTTAGAGTTCCGTCTCTGTTTATTTAAACAACGGGAAAAAGAAAAACTTTAAAAAGATACCGTCCGCGTAGCTCTAAACAGAATTCTATAAGCGTACACATATGACACATATTGAATTGTCCTAAATTTCGCAAAAATCTGCTAAAACCAATCTTCCAGCGTTGATCTTCTCCCTCTTTCGCCTCGCATCGGAAAAAAAAGAGAAAACAGAACAAACGACCAATATACCTACATACGTGAAAGGTAAAAATAAAAGCAACCCTCCCTTCACCTTGTTTCAATAAACCCGAACCAACCATTGATATCTCGAATACCGGAGTATAATCGTTGGGGGGGAGGGAAGGGAGGGGATCGCAGGATGCGAGATATCCGCGAGAGCGCCGAAAATCCAGCCCGAGATCCAGAAAGCATGGTCTCTCGTGTCCCTGTTCTCTGTTTCTCTCTCTCTCTCTCTCTCATGTGCCGGTCGTCGCACGTGTGGTCCCACCGGCGTAGATCTAGTCTCTTGTCACGGATACGCGTTCCTCTTCGTTCCACCGTCCCGGCCACGTCGCCGACTGTCTCCGTTCCGGCCGTGTTATCTCGTATTCTTCCGATGTTCCTACCCCGTGTTTCGTCCTGACGCTCGGGTTAGCTTCGAGAAATCGCGTGGGCAGGTAATCGAGTAGGCCCCTCGCGAGAATTTAAGATCGTCGTATCCAGGTTCTTGCGCTTAGCATCTCGGGGCCAAAGCGTGTCGCGAGATTAAGCGGCTCTCGGATCTCGTCCTCTTCTCGCGCTCGCAACCACCGTCCACGCCTGGATCTTCCCCTCCCCTCCCCTCGCCAACCCCTCCGTGAATCCGTCTTTCGCGCGATCCTCAGGGAGGAAGCTGGCCAACCTTTCGATCGTTCGCTTGTTTCCAGTCACCATGTAGATAAGAAAGTTATTAGGTGTTGCAGGAGGTGTTCTCCCGATAGTTGTCGTTCGTTTCTTTAAGCTTTTTCTCTGTTTTTCTTCTTCTTCTTCTTCTTCTTCTTCTTCTGTAGATTGTCTATTAACATGGCGCGCACGGTGATTTGTTTCCTAATACGGCTACCCGAGATTGCGAGCTCCTTGAAGATAATTTGTTTTTTGATCACAGTCAGTTGGTATTCAAGCACTGGATGTTTGAACTGCTGGAATTTTACGAGAAGAAATTTCGAATGAACTTTAGTTCTTCTTTCTTTCAAAGACCGAAACCTCTGTTTCCACGAATACAAATTTTATTCTATTCTGAAATACATTTTTACATCGCCCGTAGAATTTTCCTATAAATAATCGTAATATGTAAAAGCATTGGAATTTTTTTTTTTTATGAGTGAATCTACGATGGGTTTAAAGATCGAAAGATGGCCTTTACAACGACGCCAAAAAACTTTATGTACGATCTTTTGTCGCCATTTTACTGATTAAACTTCGATGATGAGAGTTCGAAAAAAATCTTTACATCCATTTTTACCTCATGTTCAAGCTTTAATAAATTCGTACGAAGAAAAATTCGTATGAATCTACTGTAGAGTCACAGTCGTCAAAAATATGACAATAACTATGACAATTTATAGCATTTTCGAGAAGAAAAGTGTCTTCACATTGCGTAAGAACATCTTAGAATAAATCCAAGCTCATTACTGTAAGACTTCTTTTTACCAAATTTTCAATTTCAATACTTACTCACTTCAATACTGTCCGAATATTAATCGAAATCACTATATGTACATTTACCAAGGTGTTTTGTGTAATATATTTTTATTTAATTTCTCAAAGGCGGAGACCAACTCGTTATTTTGACTTCTGTGCGGTTGGAGGAAATTTTCGTAAAATTCTACAAGAAAGTTCAATTTCTTTTTTGCTTACAATTATGATCGGTAGAACGATCTGCATACATCGTATAATTTGTCATTATTCACAATTCATTTTCTTACATTGTACTATTTTATTATTTTATATGCTATTATCTACATACATTATACGTAATTTTATTATTATTTTATTGTAATACTTTCCTTTTTATTTCATTATATTTCCAAGATCTATACTGCATTTATTGTATTTATCTGAAGATGAAGTTATTCTCGATAATACATCTCTCCATATCTCAAAGTTATTCATATTAATTTGACAATATTATTATTATTGTACAACGAATAAAAATTGTCGTTGAAAAGTTTATTAATCTGCTAAACCGGGCGTTGAGTGTTGAAGCGATAGTTGAATTTTGAATTTAATCGAAATCGAATTTTGTCACTGATCGGCAAGAGATATTCACAGTAAGAAACCACACGAAGCACCACAATGACGTTAACAATCAAAGAAAGACGAAAGTACTCGTTATCTGTCTCGGCTGTCTCTCCGTTTAAATTCCATTTGTTCCACGTAAAACAGACATCCAGAAATCAAAAGAGAGCCAGTTTATCCGAAAAAAAAGCAGATCCAGCTGCACGCCAGCGGGCGAGCAAAAGTTTTTCCACAAGCGAGTGTCACAGCCAATCGTCGGATGCGTTTCTCCGCTTGCTTACCGTTATCTCGATCGAGCTGACAAAACGTCAGCGAGCCCCATTCTCGACCGGTTGCAAAAAGCACCGTTTGACGAGGGTGACACCAGAGAATATCGGGCTCGATCGAGTATACATAATACGCGTCTCGTGTCCATCTTTCTCTCTTCTATCCCTCACCCCTCTCCCCTCTCACTCTCTCTCTCTCTTTCTCTCGTTCCTGCTCTTTCCTCGAGATCACCCGACGGCGGATACGAAAAAGAGAAAGAAAAAGAAGAAGAAGAAGAGAAAAAAAGAGGAAAAGGAACAGACAGAAGGGAGGATGGGGTGGAAAGGGAGAGGCACGATCGTCGTTGGTGCGCTCCTTCCACGGGAGGATTACAGGTTTGCGGAGAGATCAAGATCTGAGCTTTTGGTGCTGATCGGATGGACGGATGGACGAGAACAGACCGGACGGTTCCCACACGCCGCTTAATTGATCGATTCGAAAATCTTGCTGATCACTCGCTGGATCTGCTCGAGCATTTACCGAGAGGAGAGTAGGTCCGTGTCCGGATCTCTTCGTCGTCGTCCCTACGCCGATCTTCTGCCCGGATTCTCCGTTCGGATTCTCAGGAGTATAATATTAGGCTGATCCTCGAGAGTTTCTGTCCCCGAGTTTTACTAATACGGTAGGAGATCCGTATCGTTCGAGGATTCGCTCCAAGGCTACCCGAAATCCGTACATTTTTCTTTTCCTTTCTTCATAGTGATATGAATTTTACGCATAGTTATACGATTGTTTGTACTGTGCATGTCACTGTAATATAATTTGATTTTAATCATTTGTAATTATCGATGATAAATTGCCATCGTGATATTGTTCTAGGTAAATTTTATATTATAATATAGTTAATTTAATTACATTATATAAATTTATATAATACAATTAATTACAATTTTATTAGTTTATTATACACGCACGGGAATTAGTAATCCTACACTTTGGTAGAAGTATATAGACTATGAAATTACAATTCAAATAAAACTATAAAGAATAGGAAAAAGTTTCTGATGAAATAAAACATGCTAAAAAATTATTTAAATTTTCACATTCATTCAATTTTTATAAAGAATTACGAATTGATCATTCTAGTAATTCCAGTGCCATAGCTTTCACTGCAATACTCTTAGGCCAATCGAAAACTGTTGTTATTATTATTATGGATCCGTATAAACGTTTTATATGGATAAATTGAGTTAATTAGTATTAACTCTACAAATTGATATGTAGAAAAAAAGTTACAATAAATTCATTATTTTCTAAAATTCACAATTATCATTTCCCTGTGATGAAAATAAGTCCTTTGTGAATTATAGATCAGTTGTAGATATTGAATAGGCACGATGATTGTATTTTCTTCTACTTGCAATTAGAAATTTTCAAAAATCGCCGAAAGTTTGGAATCACTACGTGCTGTATAAAATTCGTGGAATTTTCACAAGAATCAAAAATTCGCGCAGTTGAAAATGAAATTTCAATCAATTATTTACAAATGTGATGCAACTTGTGTAGCTTTCAGTTGTTTCAATATTTTGTTACATTGGTTACATGAGATTGAAGGTGGACAATGAAAAATTACTCAAAACTTGAAAGCACAGCATCAAATTTTGTATCGTACGTACAGAAAATTCTACTAACGAAAGGATAATTATAAAAATAGCTTAAATTGTTTAAGGAAAGCAACGAATCGTTAAAGAATTCGGTCACATATATACTATCTACGTTCAAACCCATAAGAAAGATATGCAAATGTTACACGTGTATGTGTTTATGCAAAATTGCAAGTTACAAAATACATAAAACATCCAAAGTACAGTATTTATTTTAATACATGCTATCTAACAGTACATAAAAAACAAGTCTCTCCGTTCTTCTATATATAAAACAAGGCTTCCATTTCTTCAATAGACAAAATTTCACCAAAATTATAACCGCATAAAAATCCGCGACGTAAAGAAGACTCGATAGATAGATACCACGTTTTACAGAAGAGAATTTTGTTCCAAAAATCCATACCAACTTTCTTCTGGTATTAAATAGAAAAAAAAAAATCAGCTCAGAAAACTCTTTTCCTGTCTTGAAGAAAACTCGTCTTGAAGAAAACTCGTACGCTAAAGAATATTACCCATTTCGGAATTAGTTTCGAACTAACGAGGAAATTATCGGCTGACCCAGTGTGTAATGGATATGATTGGAACAGTGATGGACGGTGAAAGGAAAAATTCAACGGAAGGAAGGTGAAAGGGAATCGGTCGAACGACCGGCCGAATATTTCCTAAGATTATGACGTCAGGCTGCCAGTTAGCCAAGGCTTACCGGTGTAATCCGTCGTAATGCTCGCCGGAAACCTCTCTTCCCATACCTTTTCCCAATGGGGCCGACATTAAGCGCGCCCGTCGATATGAATGTTTCTATGCGCGCGGTCAGGGGTGGCTGCTCAGGTCGCGAGTGATAGATTGTGTCAACGAACGTGCACCTGTTAGACCGACGATGAGATAACTCATCTGTCGAACTGAGGTGTCTGTAAATTTGTAGTTTCTTTTTTTTTTTTTTT